AGATGGAGTCTGAAGCATTAGCAGCTACAGGGTGGGGGGGATATAATTTATCTTAGCAGGGGTTTGTCTTTTTAATATATATTTATTTATTTGGGAGGTTTCCCTGTCAGTGCAATGCACAAGTACTTAAATATTTATATTTTGACAATTGAACACTCTTCTAGGGTTTTTTTTTGGCGCTGCAAAAACCGACTGTGAGCCTTTGCGGGAGGGTGTGGGGACAAAAGGCTTTGGTTTAAAAGAAATCTCTCACCCATCCTTTCGGATTCTTGGCTGGAGACGCGGGAGGACTTAATAAAAAGGTTAAAGATCGACACTGTCTTTGCACCTGCAGAGTTTAAAATGTCAGGGGGGAAAAGTGGCGGTGGGCCAACCTTTTCTCAGCTCTTTGTATTTCTGCCATTTCAGAAATTCCTCCCGGTATTTTTTTTTAAAGCTCTATTCTCTGAAACTCACCCTGCTGCTTTGCTGGATGGTTATAAAAGCTCATTCACCCAAGAAGGAGGTTCAAGCAAATCTCCAGGGGGACCTCGGGTAAATACCTGTACGTTTTAGCCCTAATAGGCCCTCTGGGAGACTCTTCCTCCATCAAATTAAACACACCCGGGGATCCTGCTAATCGGGAGGCGGCCCAAATCTTGCTGACGCAGCCGGAGTTTGCAAACAAAGAACTCAAGACAAATTTAGCTCCACCTGACAAGGCTGGATTGAGGAGAGCGGAGGTCCCTGCTCTTTAACCGGAAAGGGCCGTGCTGCGGCTGTCTAAGGGGAGAAGATTTTGGCAGCTTCCAGGAGCGGGTAGCCGGCAAGCGCCAGATGTTCCTTCACTGATGCTGAAAAGGGAATGGAACTACATCCCATCATTTGGGGGGGGGAATCTGCCATTTGAAGCAAAGCATTATTGCAGTCTTTTAAGGAGCTGTTGTGGAAAAGAACTGTTGGATCATCGTCAGAAATTATTTAATCATTTTAGGACTGCAGGGGTGGAAGGGACCCTTTATGGATCATCGAGTCAAACCCCAGTCAAGGAGGCAGAGCGGGTCGCTATTTCATTGATGGAAATAAGCAACTTTAACAAAGGATTTAAAAGGACAGCGCAGATTACTACCTAAACCTATGGATCGCAACCGTGGTGGATTATTTTAAAACTTGCTGAGTTTAATGATGTTGGTAGATTCACACAAACTTCTTAAAATTACTGTATTTTTCGCTCCATAAGACGCACCTTTCCATAAGACGCACTAATTTTTTAGGAGAAGAAAACAGGAAAATATAATCTGTTTTCTTCGCTCCATAAGACGCACAGACTTTCCACCCCCCTGTTTTGTGGGGGAAAAGTGCGTCTTATGGTGCAAAAATACGGTAATCATCAAATTGCGTCCCCCCCATGGTAGATTCACACAAACTTCTTAAAATTAACCATCAAATTGCGTCCCCCCCACTCCTCTTCAAATGATATTTCATCGCTAAACGTTCATTAATGTTATCTGAACACATGCATTATGCTTTGCTTCATCTCTTAACACTTAGCTCTGTTTGTTTAGCTTCTTAATTGCATGACTCTTATCAAATGAGACTGAAGGTTTAGTGAAAACTGAAGGCCAGTGCTGTTTAGAAGGGAAACAGAGAGATCTATTTCAATCAGGTTACACACCTATATCAAAGGTCTGAACACATGCATTATGCTTTGCTTCATCTCTTAACACTTAGCTCTGTTTGTTTAGCTTCTTAATTGCATGACTCTTATCAAATGAGACTGAAGGTTTAGTGAAAACTGAAGGCCAGTGCTGTTTAGAAGGGAAACAGAGAGATCTATTTCAATCAGGTTACACATATATACCAAAGGGTGATATTAATGTATATATTATTCATATTTGCTCATGATCTGTCATTTGGTTCCTTTTGGGAAAAATTTTTTTTTACTGTAATATAACTGAAAGTGAAAGGAAGCTGGCTGCTGAATTTTGCCACCAGCCTACTGAATAAATAGCTTTTAAAAAGTTTTTAAAAGACAGATAAACTTCGGATCCCAGTGGTTGTAGACTGCAAGGGACCCCCAAAGTCATTGAGTTCAATCCACTGTTGAAACAGAAAATCTGCAGTTAAGGCATCAACTTCTGCTTAAAAACCTCCTGCAGGAGAGAATCCATCACCTTCGGAGGTAATTCATGCCATTGTCAAATAGCTTTTCATGTCAGGAAGCTCTTCCTCATGTTCAATAGCAATTTCCTTTGTTTTAATTGGACCCCACTGCTTTACAGGTCTCTCTCTGGAGCCACGGAAAACAAGCTGGCTCCATCTTTCACAAGACAGCCCTTCAGATATTTAAAGATGGCTCATCTGGAATCCTGTGTCCTGTTCTGGGTACCGTTTAAGGAGGATGCAATTTATCGGCGACATTAAGATGAGTGGGGTTGAACGGATTTCATTCTGCACACTCTAGTCCCCCGTTAAGAGTCTTTGGTATCAAATCACTAGCCCTAAGCCTGAGTCCCTGTTAAAAGCAAGCTTTTCCTCCCCCCTCAGAAAAAGGGGAGGGGTGGATGGATTCTGAGTTGAGTCCATTGACCAAAAAATCAAGTCTGAGTCACGTCACCGGTGTGACTTAAATCCGACTTGACACCGTATCCCATGACTTGAATCCTCACCCCTGAAATTAAACCTATCTATCACCCTGAGGCTGGGATATGTCCCATGGATGCTTGTGAAACAGTCCTGCCCCAAAACTTTGGGAAGGAAACAAAATGTACGCATACACAACCCAGTTATATCCAACAATCTAACAGTGAACTTCTAGCTATTCAGAGATCCAAACCTACAGCCTGGACCTTTTATAATGTAAAAATATGCAAAGGGGGGCTCAGAAAAGCACTTCTAACAGCCAGAACTAAAGCCATCCAGTGGGCTATAATTAGTTTAAAGCATTATTGATGAAGGATTATCACGGCTGACTCTGTCCTAGGTTCCTTTGCATTACAGTTCTTCTGTAACTGACATACGGGATGAGGTTTCAGGAGGGAGAGAGAGTTTACCTAATCTCTTAATTCTTACCTGCCTCTAGAGTAACAGCCTCACTACTGTGTTATTCTGCCTTTTTAATGCTAGGCGGGGAAGTGGACTCCTACCTACCCCCCCAAAGCTACCCTTTGATGTGAAAGGAGTTGATATCACCGGGTCAAACTCCTTCACACTGGATTGAGCATGGAATCCTGGCTCAGGAAGTTCTAAGACTTGTTGATACAGAAAGTGGACGATCCGTTTCTGACCTTGGCTTTTATTCTCTTTGAAGTCTCTTGCTCGCGCTTGTACGGCAAAAACCTGAGCATCTGTTTTTCGGAAAACTTCAACCTTCGAGGGAACGTTGTTTCTCATTTGCCGAGGAATCTCAGCATATATAGCGCTCCAGGGTGGTCAATCCAGCTTGCTTTGTGGCCGTTGTGGGGCTACAGGGCCTTTCCCCACTGCTTAACCACCACCACCACCACCTTAGAACCGCAGGGCTGGAAGGGACCCTCTGACTCAATGAGTGCAGCCCCTTCTCAAGGAGGCCCAGTAGGAGAATTCGAACTCCCAACCTCTGGCTCTGCGCCAGACGCCTAAGCCACTGAGCTCTCTGGCAGTTATGTGAATGGAGTGTATAGCTCAGCAATGGGTACAGCTCCACCCTAACAAGGAAACACGAGGAGTGAGGAGCCACCTCAGGCAACACCCGATTCCTTGCAACACAGGTTCAAAGCAACCAAAAGAGACCAACAGTAGGAGATTCCTGTGGGAATGCCAGTCCTTTTTATGGGAAGCCGAAAAGGGACGTTCTCAAAATAATTACGGTAGGAACTCTATACCTGCGGAGTCAATATCTGCTGATTCACTGAGCCACCGTTTGAAAAGATTAAAAATAGTAAAAGAAAAATCCAAGAAATACCGTTATTTTTCCATGTATACAACCCCCCCAATGTATAAAACGCTTTTAGCAGATTACAGTATTTTACCCCTTAATGTAATCTAGGTTGCCATTATGTAAAAACAGTTAATATAAAAAAAAAAGTGAAAAAAAATATGGAAACACAAATATAATAGATACCTATTTTTATGTAATTTCAAAGATCTTTTTTGCGCCATTAAATATTATTGGAATATTTAATGAAATTAATTCTGCAATGTAAACATTCCTGAGCCTAAATACAGGGACACATACTAAGCTATACCTGCGGAGTCAATATCTGCTGATTCACTGAGCCACCGTTTGAAAAGATTAAAAATAGTAAAAGAAAAATCCAAGAAATACCGTGATTTTTCCAGGTATACAACCCCCCAATGTATAAAACGCTTTTAGCAGATTACAGTATTTTACCCCTTAATGTAATCTAGGTTGCCATTATGTAAAAACAGTTATATAAAAAAAGCGAAAAAATATGGAAACACAAACATAATAGATACCTATTTTTATGTAATTTCAAAGATCTTTTTTGCGCCATTAAATATTATTGGAATATTTAATGAAATTAATTCTGCAATGTAAACATTCCTGAGCCTAAATACAGGGACACATACTAAGACATGACACATTAAATTAAAACGTTAAACGAGATTTTTATTTTACAAAGTACTACTCATGTTATGAAAATGAAATCTATTTCTTTAGACTAATTCATTAGACAGAATTCATTCACTAATTTATTTAACTATTTGTTCAGGCAAATTAACTACTTAATAAGTCAAAGGCAGAAGCAGCAGTATGTATACATATATATACTGTATATATATGTCACACTGCTGACACTTCTTACAACCAACGTGTTTGTAAAACTGCCACTTTGGATCTTAGGACTCACTTGAGTAGTGAAGAAGCTAGTAAAATTAATGAGCGAAACACTGATAGGTTTATACACAAACAAACACAAGGAATATACAGTGCATTAACGCAACATACAGTATATTAAAACGTAGCCATGAATAAAATAAAATGCAAACGGACACCAGTCAAAAACCAAGATACTTGCCTTCTGAAACACTTGATAGCTGGACTTGGACCATATATCAAGCTATAGAAAGGGGAGAAAAGCAATATTAACATAATTTCATTTTAAAAGGCATCCATCATCACAACACTAAGAAGCAAAGATTAAATCAAACTTTTTTTTAACAGAGTCCTTTGGCCTAGGATGATTAGTGACGTAACCAACCAAAGAGAGGAGCTTAAACTGGCTTGTTCGACTTTTATATAAAGTCACACGTGGTGCACACGCAACAGTTTGGCGCTTAACTGTGTTTCAGTGATGAGAAACAGGCCACGAGACCACATTCTCCCGTCTCCCTCAAATCACCTCTCACTCCTTGTGAGCGACCCCCGCAACCCCTAACAAGAAAGATGATTTTAAGACCCTCTTTCTCTCTCTATGGGATTTTAGCGTGCTTGATTGGGAACAAATTCTGCCGAACTGCTTACAAGGGTGTTAGGTAAGTAAAATCCTCATGGAGCAGGTGTTTCCTTTTTGTACTGCAGCCCGTGAGATTTCATGAACTGGTATTCCCACCTCTCTTTGATCCACAGAACTTTTTCTACATTTAAGTTTTCCCCCCACAGTTAGCGATTTCTGTGCAGCCGCCACATGAATTCATTCAGATCAACCCTCTTGGGTGACTTCGACATAGTCAGAGGCAGCAAGACGGCTTCACTTCGTTTGGAGCAGGAATCTGCTGAGCCATGTGAATATTTAACAAGCCTCAGAACTGTGTCTACAGCAAAGGGCATCTCCATGAGCCTTGATGCATTCTGGTGTCCACGACATAAGCAATTCGGTGACAAGTGACACAGAAAACATTTAGCTGAATTAAGCCAGAAAACTGGCCCACAGGGACAAAATAAAACACACACACACACCCCTCTGAATATTGCATTTAGATTTTCATGGCAGGAGGTGTGTGCAGAAGAGAGGCAGAAGTTGAGGTCACAGGGTAATCTGTGATTTGGACACATCTTACCCATTGACAGCAACCTGGTTTGAAAAAGCAACACATTTAAGACACTGAAACAATAAGAAACCAAGTATTTGTCTTGACTTGGGTTCAAAGGATGGCGAGAAGCTCAAGTAAGTCGCATTGAGAATACTGCCATTTGAAACAAGGGAATTTATGGAGCAGCTGACTCACCCAATCCCCACTGATTCAATGGACCTCCTTTAGTGAAACTTACTATGTTAAGCAGTAAGATTTAGACCAGTATATTTGAAACTCTGGCTTCCTGCTTTACTTAGATTCAAAAGATATGGAACAAGGTGAGTCCTCTGGGTAATAATGACATCTTTCACCCATGTCGCTCCTGTAGCTTCTATAGGGTTGCACATGGTGCGTGAATCACCAGCTCTATAAACCAAACTAATATGCCCACGTAAGGGGAAGAAAATGGTTTGGATTATCGATGATCATGGAAGGGACTTGAAAAGCATCCACTATTATAACTATGCTACAGAACATGACAGCCGTTGTGGGTAAAGTGTTAGACCAGAGCTCGGGGGTGTGTGTGTCCCGAGTTCAGATTCCTGCTCAGCCATGGAGATTTTCTGCGGGGTGGCCAGGATAAAACACTCCTTTGAAAACCTTACTAGAGTTGCCGCAGGCTCGGTGACTCAACAATACATAACGTCGACAAAAAGGCTGCTGGAAAAGAGGGCTTGACAGTCAACTTTCACCCGTCTCTGCTGTAGACCCACTGAGCAGAAGCAGCTGAGCAAAGACCTATACATTGCAGTCTCCCCCCCCCACCCCACTTCCCTCTGCTTGGATGGCTATACCTGTCAAGAATAGTACAGGTTGATAATGGAGCTCTCATTTTTTCCTCTCTCCCTATTGTTCTCTCATTTATTAAAAAATTGAATCATACAGAAAAAGGAGCAATGGCTGGTATAACCATCAAAATCTGTACTGAACGCTTAGCATAGAGACTGAGCAGTCCTGATGTAATTCAATTTTTTTTCGAGCTTTCTAATGCTCTCCAAGGTTTTAAAAATAAAAAAAGAGGAGTTATATGCAAGGCCTATAAACCGTCCACCCTGAAACCCGATGAATGAGGCAGGCGTGCTAAACAATGCATTGTTGCGGGTCTATTATTCTTCAACTTTTCACTTTCAATCAAGACACACATTCGTAACTAAAAAGCTGCTGAAAGCACAATTTCAAGGCATCTTCTGCATGCGAATTAAATTGGGCCTTTCTCTCTCTCTCTTTCTCCCCCTTCCACCCTCCCCACCCACCCTGGCGCAAGTAACAAGAAGCCATTTTCTGAAGGTCGTCTGAACGATTTCAAAGGCGATAACAAATCAAAATGTTCCCTGCATCTAATATCAAACAGGGCTGGTGCCAACATTTATTAGAGAAATCGGATTCAACCCCCCCCTTCCCTTTACCCAAACACACAGGCATCCCGCTTTGAAGTGGAAAGAATGCAGAGATCAGAAATTACTCGAGAGACAGTTCCGGCTGACTTTGAAGCTTTCCTTTGATAACCACGATTTCTTCTCCTCACTTACGCTGCGAGGCAAAATGCGGCCTTTTCATACCGATATGGGGTAATTAACGAAGGCAGGGCATTAACATAGCCCAGGTGGCTTAGCGTTCCCCAAGCTTTACCTGGTGCGAAAATGGCAGTGGGCGAAAAGAAGCATGGCCGGGTGCATTCCAAACTTGCCCATTCATGAGTCTTGCAGCGTTTGTAAAAAAAAAATGCAAGGGGGCCAAACTTGCCAAAGGAATCGACGGTCTCTAAATCCTTCATGGCGATCAACAGATCAGAGGCCAAAGGAATCTGAACGCCGTTATGTTTTGATTAGAACTGAGTTGGCTGAAAGGCAAGAGTGTGCTGCAATAGTCTTGTTTACTCAAGGATCTGTATGGCTCCAGTTAATTGCTTACCATGCTTAGGGTGTGCTGCTGAAAGGAAAGGGGGGGGAAGGAAACTCATTTCTGAAATTATGAGTGGCACAAAGCCACTGCATGGCTAATTAAAACACATCATTCGGTGGTGGGAGCGACAGGCCAAAGGAGAGGGACAGAAAAACGGGGAGCCAAAACTCGCCGTGGAGCGAAAACAGAGACGTCTCCTTAACAAGGGCCTCCTTTGCAAAAATGGAATCCTTCCCCACAGAGGGCGCGAAAGCATCCATGAAGCGTGAGGCAATCCAGCCGCAGCACAGATGAAATCTACAGGTCTTATTAATGCCAAGGCATCATGAAGAAAAAGGTTCTCACTCTCATCCATCTTTTCTACTGTATGCTATGAAGTTTCTTATGTATGAAAAATGGTGGAGACAGGACAACTTTCAATTTTCGCTTGCTTAATCCCATTGGTTTTGGGACACCGGACTCTGCTCTGGACTGTCCTCTTTTAGAGTAAAACACAACGCGAGCACTTTTAATTTGGTTGAGACTTCGAAGGAAGGAAACCTGTATACGGTCAGTTTTTAATGAAAGGCTTCACACTTAAAGCAGGTGTACTTGTTCCCAAAGCTTCGAGATAGAGCAAGGCTTATTACCTTATATGGAAAGTCTATATTATGAAAGAAAAGCAAACCATTATTGCTCTCCGCTGCCTCCTTATACCTACAAATATCCACATCTGTGCCACCTCTTTTCTCAAAAGAGAGAGCAGTAAAAGGAAAAAAAATATTTTCACACGCATTACCAGAACTGGCCACTAAAGGGCACCAGACGTATGTATTCTTCACTAACTACTATTCACAGCAGTCTCTCTGGTTCCGTCTAGTGGCCAGTTCTGGTAATATATATGAAAATAATTTTTTTCTGGATTTATTTCTTTTAATATTTTCAGACTGTGGGTAAGTGGATCAATGGATACTGATCCCTTGGATAAGGAGGTCCTACTGTATTTGATTCCCTTTCTCCTTGTGACCTGCCTCAACCACTTGCAGTTGAATTATTTTGATCAACAATACTTGGGTGATTTGCCCAAGGCATTTGTGTTTAGCAGAAAACCTGAGCTAGGACGGCAGGTCCCAAAAGGTTGTGATAAGAAGACAATGCTGCACTAGTTCAAACCAACTTCTCCTCTCTGTTTGCCTCTGTGGCTAACAAACAAACATGGATATACAGCCAAGTTCTAATTCAGTTGACCAAAAAGTAATTTTAACAAAGCTGCCTGACTTACTGAACTAAAGCACAAAAGCCACTACTAGAAGAAAGACAGCACAGAAATGCAGTAAATAAATACTGTCTGACCCAAGTTAACTCTGGAAATCTAACTAGATGGTTTCATATACTGTAGATTGACAAGACACAACTGCTTGGAATTCCGGCTTCTTGTGCAAGATTGCTCAGCCATTCCTGCTTGACTCAGATGGCAGGAATCACTAGACAAACCAGGGTCTGTGGTTTTCTAGTGTTACATTCCAGCCAGAACTCATATAGGTTGTTGCTTTTTCAGGAAGACTCACAAATTAAGAACAAACCCTGGCTAATGATTCTGGCTTGTAAGGAGAACAACATTTAAGGATGGATTTTACCATTGCCACCCCCAGTGAGTTTCCATAACCAAATGGAGATCTGAACTCACATTCCCTGAATCCCAAGCTGACACGCTATCCATGATATAACATTGATTCTCTCTCTTTTTAACCTAGAAAACAGAATCAAATTTCCCTTCTTTCAGAACTGGCAACTCCCCCAACCGCTCCTGCAGAGAGGAATCTGGGGTCAGTACATAACACAATGTTGTATGTTACAAGAGTGCCTCTCTTTTTCAAAAAAATAATCCTGTCCTCATTATAACATGGCCTATGGGTGTCAAGTGCTCATCCAGTTATAATGAACCTTGTGTTTTAATGGGCTTTGTAACAAAGAGGAGGAAGAAAGAGAGATAGAGAGATCTGGTGAGAGGGGGAAAGAACGCAAAGAGACAAAAAAATGCTTAACACTTGTTACTGGCTAAAGGTGATCCTGGGTGGGTGTCTCAGCACTGAAGAGAGAAACAAACCAAGTTGAAGGCTGTCATCTCCCATTAACATCCTCTAAAGCTCTGCAGAAAACCATATGGAGTTTGTGCAGTCATAAGAAATTAGGGACTCCAGCCGGGTGAATTTTTCATAAAGCAAATCACTCCTGGAAACAGGTTATCCTTTCCCCTTCAGCAGCCTGCCTTCGAAATGCAACGCCACCATCCAACTCAACCTACTTAGGCGGACCAGCCCCGATGCCTTGCAGAAGAATTTACCGAGCTGAGTGTCGAACTGGTGCAAGATTTCCCTCAGGACTCTGGGGGGGGGCTGAGTGTCGAACTGGTGCAAGATTTCCCTTGGGGCTCTGGGGGGGAAAAGCAAACTCCAAATGCTGGTCTACCGATGTGCTCGAAACACTTTGAGCGGGGAAGAAAACAACATACGTCTGCCCCTCCGTAGATACTAATAATGAGGCAACAAGGGTCTAAGGTGATGAATTAGAAATTCAAGCAAGGGCGTGAGGCTTTAGTGAATGAGCAGATGCTTGGATCCAACTGGGGGAAAACATAGCAACAGGAGGAGGCAAATGAGATGCTTAGCAAAACATCAGCACATCTTCTTGAGCTAGTGGTGTGTCAGTTCTGATATTTACTTTTCCGGATAGGTCTGAACACTGGGTTTTTCTTCATGAAGGCTCCTAACGAACAGAGGCGCGACACTCACCTTGCCATCGTCCGTGTAAACGTTCTCATGATATCCCTTTACAATTGTTCGGTCAATGAAGAGGCTCCGCATCACGACTATGACTTTTAACACTTTCCCCAAGGTGACCTGTTTAGGGAGAAGGGTCATCATCAAGAAGGTGAGAAAACGTAAGAGACATTGTAAATAAAATAAATAAAATAAATTGTGTCCTAGAGTCTAAGAATTGCAGCCTAGACGGTTGAAAACATTAGAAAAGGGTTTAAAATGATGATTTCATCGCAGTTCTGTTATTTCAAGAACTCCCGTCCTCAAAACAAAAAACACTCCTTTGAATCCTAGAATGATGGGGTAGGAAGGGGCCGATAAGGCCATCGAGTCCAACTCCAAATCAGGCAAGAGGGTTGTCCAATTTTCTCTTGAAGGCCTCCAGCGTTGGAGCGCTCACCACCTCCCAAGGGTCCACTGTCATACTGCTCTAACAGTTAAGAAGTTTTTCCCGATATTCAACCTAAATCTGGCTTCCTCTCACTGGACCCCATTATTGTATGCCCTGCATTTGTAAACTTGCATCCCACCACCGCAAAGCAAAAAGTTGGACAAGAGCCTTATAGGCCCCTTCCAACTCAATTATTCTACGATTCTGTCGCTGAGATCCATATTCCTTTTAAATATTCAGTAATGGATCTTACACCGCATAAGGCGGATGCCGTCATCATCAGGGATACTTTTACATAAATTAAGATTCTGATCCCACACTCAAAGTTCCTAAGGCTCCCTTTCGCCAAAAGGAAGCTGCTGGCAGCTGTGGGACAGAGGCGTTTTTTAATTGCTGGCAATCACAGCTGCTGAGATGATTTTACTGGCTATTTGATTTCAGCCAGGGAAAGATTAAGGCTTCTTCCTAACTGCTGCATCTTCATAAAGGAGCCTTTAAGCTGTCAAACGGGCTTTTACCCCCACCACTAATTTGGTTAGGCCTAAACCACTGAGCTCTCCAACAGTTCTTGAGAGCACTAGAGGGAAGGTGATAATCTTTGGGTTACGGAGAGATAAATATTTTATTCTACTCTTATCTTCATATTTGGGGGGATGTTCTGATTGGGGGGGGAAAAGGGTGCCAAGCCACTGGCCTCTGTATGCACAGGTCAAAGGAAAGAGCGCTATTTCAAGCAATGCCCACTCAAAACTGCCAAATCCTTCAGCAGACTCAGCGCTTTTAATTCAAGCCTGTGAACCCTGGTTGTCGGAATTCATCATGGCAGGTGCCGCAGTATTTAAAACTTCCAGATTCACGCCAATGTCGTATTGACGCTGGAATCCCAGCAGCTCTTCCGTTGACTGGAAAACCAGAAGCTGGGCATTTCAGCAAATGATGGCCGTTTTGAAAATTAGCAGCGGCCCCAGGGGACCGGAGGCGCCTCTTCCAAGAGCAAGCGACAGACGGGAGAAGGCCTGAAAGCTGCAAAGGTCTAAGATTGCGGAGATCTTGAAAGGCACGGCCTTCTGAGCAGCTGCAATTAGCTTCCCCAAAAATAGGGAGCTAGGCACCAAAAATAGCGCCCAGATGAACGGTGCTCAGAAGTTTAAGAAGAGTCTTATAGGTTCCCACCATACTTTCTCCAATGGGTAGCACAGGGTGGCATCGGATGAGCTTTTAATATTTGGCATTACTCTTTTTATTGCATTCCGCAAACGATTTAGCAATTTGGAGAAAATGGCCATGATTTAATCCGGCAACAGACACTGGCGTTAATAGACCACTTTTAAAAAGTCTTGAGTGAAATTTCACAAGGAAGGTGATCGTGGATTTTGGGGACAGCTCTCACAAAGTGTGGCACAGAATCGCTTTCCAAGTCTAAAACCGAGACTGTTCTCCCAGATAGGTAAAAGGGGGCATATTCTCTAGGTCAGGGTTTCCCGACATTCTGAGTCACAACCCCTTTTTATAATGGCCAAGTAACTTGCTAACTGTCCCCTCTTTACTGGCCTTTAAGAGGATGTCAACACCTACTTTTAATTTTTATTATTTATACATTTGGTGAATTTTAACACTCTGTACTTTTAATCTTACTGGCATCTTATTTTTGTGCTAAATTAAAGCACTGTAGAATGTATTTTCATTGTTTGTTTATCCCTACAGCATATTTTTAAATAGCTGTGTTATTTTTTGATTTTTTTTATTTATTTACAAGATTTTTTTTTTTTAGCTGTGCCATTACCCGTGGTCTCTGGTCTCTTTTATTGCTTATTGTTGTTCTATGTTTTATGTTGCAAATGGCCCAGAGCAGCCTTAGGTCAGATGGGCAGTATATTAATGAATGAATGAATGAATGAATGAATGAATGAATGAATGAATGAATGAATCAATCAATCAATCAATCAATCAATCAATCAATCTTTTGTGTGGGCGTTCCTATTTAAAAGGTAGGTAAAAGAGAAGGCTATAAATCAATCAGAGAAGAGTAAAAATGTTTGCTACTGTGAAAACATAAGCTAGTAAAACTCACAATGTTAATCGTTTTCAATCAACTGAATGATGATCAGTGGAAAAATATACGTATTATGACCAACTGTAGTAACTGTAATATTTTCCCATTACCCATTTGTTTCTAATGTACGATGCCTTCCAATGTATAAACAGAGTATATCCTGCTTATTCGTGTATAGGCACCTCCTCCTCCAAATATAATATCCACCGAAAAAGTCATAAAAATTCTGTGCCTCAGTTTCAAAGGATACTACACATGGGCAGTTCATTTCAGTAGAAAGGCTGGCTACTTCTTCAGCTGCATTACATTATATAAATAAATAAATATATTTTCTGAGGCACACTTCTTCCTATTGTGTTTCAACTTCTTCCATCAATACTGTGATAGACATAGTACTTGGGTTTTTTAATATTTTGCCTGCAGGATATGTACCAACTTGACCTTGATGTAGGAAATTTTAATTCAAATCAATACAAGTACAAGGTCACTCTAAAATTCAATTAATATGAATGGAGGGGAAATGCCCCACAGTTCTTTGAGCTGAAAATGGAACAGCTGCAGGTTAAACATTCATGCAACCCTCTGTCTAATACTACTACATCTCAAGCTAGCTTTTAAATACTACAGCACTCATTCTGACTGTCTGGATGCAAACCCTCTGGCTGTTTTTAAAGGACAAAAATGTGACAACATTTGCATCATCCTTAGATCTTCACTGGGGGGGGGGGAACCTGGCACAATGAAAAACTCCTAAGAAGTTCTGGATTTCAATAACACTTCTCTCCAATAATTACTAATGTTTTCTGAGTTAATGGGTTAAGAATGACAAAACACTCTGAATACTAGGGAGTACCATGGGGGGGGGGGGGGAAAAAGAAGATTTGGAAATGTATTGGGAAGTCCTAGATATTAGCATCAAATTTTTAAAAACCAGAATGAAATATTTAGAAACCAATCTTGCAGAGAACCTAAGATGACATCAATATGAGTCAGAACTGCCTTAGTACCTGGCTGGTCCTGTGCAGTGAAGGATTTGGGCTGTTGTGAATTCTTATTTTGCATTTTTTTTAAAAGATCAAAACCCAGCTTTTGACAGAAGGTGGAGAAACACAATGGTTTCCCATTAGCAAGTGTGTCTGACAAGAGCTTATTTTATCTCCCTAGCTGTTCAATGTGTATGCAGAACATACCACACAAGAAGCTGCGTTAAATTCAGATGAAGAAGTGAAAAAGTGTTGGAACAAACATTTGTAATTAAAGACATTCAAATAACATCATATTGCTGGCAGAAAACAGTAACAACGATGTGGTAAAAGAAAAAAAACTGCAAGAGTAGGGTTACAGTTGAACATGAAGACAGAATATTGATTAGAGGAGGACTGCAATGTTGACAATGAAAAAACTGAAACTGTTGACACTTCTGTATTCCATTATTAACAAAAAATTAAGAGTGGTGACTACAGCTTAGAAATCAGATGACTGGAACTCAAAAACAGCCTTGTTAAAATGTGTTGCTGAAGACTAAGGACAAGATAATTCAGATTATTACGATGTACAGATGAGAAAGTTGAACAATAAAGAAAGCTGACAAGGAGAAAAATTATTTGAAATGTGGTGTTGGAGAAGAGTGTTATGGATACGCTGGACTTCCAGAAAGACAAGTAAGTGGGTTCCAAATCAAATCAAGCCTGAACTCTTACTAGAAGCTAAAATGACTCAAGAGAAGCTATTGTACTTTAAGCATATGAATCAAAGACTTGACTTACTGGAAAAGACAATAATGAAAAGAAAAATTGAAGACACCATAAAAAGAAGACTTAACATGAAACAGACTGACTTCGGGTGTAAGAAATGAGCAAAGCTGTTAACAACACATTTCATATGGACCGTGTGCCTCTTCCTCTTGCTCACTGGAAGGACAGCTCCTGAAGCTGAGGCTCCAATACTTTGGCCATCTCATGAGAAGAGAAGACTCCCTGGAAAAGCCCCTGATGTTGGGAAAATGTGAAGGCAAGAGGAGAAGGGGACACAGTCAATGAAACAGAAGTAGATGGTTTTCTAGAACTCTCTGGCTTTCGCCATAATCCAGCGCATGTTAGCAATTTGGTCTCTAGTTCCTCTGCCCCTTCGAAATCCTGCTTCTACTTCTGGGAGTTCTTGGTCCACATCCTGCTGAAGCCTGCCTTGGAGGATTTTGAGCATAACCTTGCTAGCGTGTAAAATGAGTGCAATCGTACGGTAGTTGGCACATTCTTTGGAACTGCCTTCTTTGGGATTGGGATGTAGACTGATCTTTTCCAAACCTCTGGCCACTGCTGAGTTTTCCAAACTTGCTGGAATCCTATAACAAATCCTGTTACGGTTGCACAACAGGTCCATGTGCAAGATTTTGAGCAAGCTACGTCCAGATCCTCTCAGCCATCCACACAAGGCCGACCATTTACACCTTGGGGAAAAAAAACAACAACTAAACCTGAAAGCCGTCTTCCCCCATTTTATGCCTCATTAACTGGCTGAAAATCACATTGTATGCATTTGGAAGAATAAACAGCAATGGAAAGAAAAAGAAAAAGATTATCCCGCTAGTTATTTTCTTTTACAGTTCCCTCGTCTGCAAAGTCGCTCCTCTTCAGCCTCATCCTTCTCTAATGATGCCTATTTGTAAATAGCAAGGTAGGATGTAATTAAGCCATTAGAGGGTAAACAAACAAATATGCTAATTAAGTTCTTTACAAGGAGTTTTTTCAAAAAAAAAATGGCTGGAATTTACCTTTCATTACTCTAACTTAATTACAACACCCCATGTTAAAAAGTCAACATAAATTAAGGGCTTTTAAATAGTTTCCTGATATTAGGAGTGAACTGTAAATTCCACCCTTGTGCCGGCTTGCCAACAAGCTGAGGCCACATAATGAGGTTAAACTGGCAAACAACAGGATTGACAAGATGAGGGAATTATTATTCAATAGGCAAGTCACATTTATGATATAATTATCTTATCCCAACTGATAGCATTATTATTATTATTATTATTATTATTATTATTATTATTATTATTATTATTATTATTATTATTATTATTATTATTATTATTAGTTTCCAGAATTAAAAGTTGCAAAGCAAAAATTAAACAAGGCTACAATCTAATATGACAAAAAGACACTCTGCAATTAAAACGGATGTCATAAGGTAAATAAAACTGAGGGGCTGCGCACTATCACAGACGTATAATTTGTCTGCAATCACAACAGATCCTACTTCTGTATTGCCAGACTGCTTAGACTGCTGAGAGAAGAATTCAAGACGTTAATTCCCAAATAAATCCATTTTTAGTAAGAATGAATAGATGCCATGAGGAGGAAGATTGCAATTATGGCTTCATAGAAAGTTGCTTCATAAAAAGGAAATGAAGAGACAGACCTTAAAATAAGCTGCGTTCCGGGGTGGAATATATTTTCCAAAATTACACAAATTATTTCAAGGCTTCAAAGATGACTCCCCATATTCCTTTGTTCACCTATTCTGCAATATTTTTAGAAAAGGTAGGCTTTTTATGTACATCTTTATTACGCAGCGAAAAATTAACATTGCCTTCTACCCCTTAAGTGTTTGACCAAGGTTGACGTAACAGGGTCCAAAACACCAAGCACGGATGATAATGGAGCTTTCACTTGTTTCTTCATATTTCAGCCACCTGAAAGCATGGAAGGGTAGATAGTGTGGTGTATCTTAGAAAATTAGCTTAACTGTGCATTTATTCCTCACAGTATTGGTGCTGGGTGATAAGATTCTGCCCAGCTTCCTCCACACAGCGTCTTCAAAAATTAGAGGATATAACCAACTGGTATGTTATAATGGTTAACAACGTTAGACTCAGAAGCCCTCAAGGTCCTGTTGCCAAGGTCAGTGGGTCCCATGGAAGGTGAGGGTTTCATGCCATTAAACTTTGCCAGACTTTGAGTAAGTTTTACACTCAAGAAGAAACTAAGAAATTCCCTCCACCAGCTCCTTCTTTTCAAACTTGCTGTTCAAACTGTGAAAGATTACGGAATGAAAAAGATACCTCATTTTCCTTTATGGCCAGGATGATATGAAGCAGGAGTGGACCATGTACAGCCAGCCATCTAGATGTTATTGAACTGCAACGCCCATAAACCATTGTCATTGGCTATGCTGGCTCAGGAGTATGGGAGTTATCTGGAGGGCACCATTGCCCGTTTCTGGCACAACGCATAGACCATCGATGACACCAAATCCATACAATCCAACTCTTAAAAGGCATTCGTAGCATGAAGGAAATGAACAAACCCCACCCGATCACCGGATTCCAAAGTGTTCAGCTGTTGGTGAAAAGTATCCTAGTGATGCTGTTGTCCAAGCGATTCAAACAGCCAAACCAGAGTCAGAGAGGAGCGCACACCAGTTGGTGAGCAGGGGATCCAGTTGCAGAGGGGGGGGGGAAGAGGAAATATCTGGTACGCACCTCTGAACGAAGGTGGGTGCCCATCTCTACTTGGAAGATTGCGGGGGGGGGGGGAATATCTGGTACCTGTGGTGCAGTGTGTACAAACCAGCACGCACCTCTGAACCAAGGTGGGTGCCCATCTCTACTTGGACGATCGCCTTCACCATTTCTATTTTTCTACTTCAGGAATGCTCCACTTGGCAGAGGTGAAACACAAGTTGATGCAGGTGACAATTTTAATTTGGACAACCGTTCGCAACACGGGTGTCCAACAGAATCACCGCAAGGTTTTTTTGTCACACGGCTGGCAATCTCAGCATGCTCTCCTCACTTGGGCACACATCTCCTGCGGAGATCACATCAAAGGTAGTAGGGATAACGAGAGACGATGTGAAGAACCGCAGCCGAAGTGCTAATTGTAACATGTGGCCGAACAATGGCAGCCTGAATTAATCGAGCTGCTGATTAGATCTAGGAAGAATGTGGCAGCAGGGAGCCACATAAAGGAGCTGGTAAGCTACTTTAAAAAAAAATACTTGTTACAGTGAAGACGGTGCCCAGGAATTCAACATGGCGATGGGCAACTCATATAAGCTGTGATTTAAACAGGTGATTTACATGGGCTGTCCACTATACGACAAATCCATGCAGTGAATTCTGTTGGACACCCATCTTACAAACTGTTGTCCAAATTAAAAGGCCACGAATAGTGCCACATACCATACATATTCTCAACTCTTAATGCGGTGGTTCCTAAACTTTTTTGACTTGCACCTTCCTTGACTTACTGGTCACTGGCGACGGCTCCACCAATACAATACTTTGGGACCTTCAGAGTTGAGAAAGGCTCTCTGTAGCATTTACATGAGTTTTGAGGTCTGCTACCAACAGCCTAAACTTTGGTGGGAAATTACTTTGCTAAGCATTCCATTTATGTAACCATACAGTGGGAGGAAATCAGATGTTAGGATGAGCTCACATTTATTTATTTTAACAATTTATGTGTCATCCTCCAATCAAGTATGTTTTCGAGATGGCTTATAAATAAAACACCAAGGAAAATACATAATTAAATAACAATGAAATCCAAAGACATCGGTGAAAATATATGAAGGGTAAAACAACCTACAGAACTGGTTACCGTCTGTTTTGGAGGGAAAAAATATTTCGTATGCTGGACAGTTTAATGAAGAGACACTTTTCAAGGGGATAAAGGTAAAGGTTCCCCTTGACAATTTTTTGTCCAGTCATGTTCGACTCTAGGGGGCGGTGCTCATCCCCGTTTCCAAGCCATAGAGCCAGCGTTTTGTCCGAAGACAACCTTCCGTGGTCACGTGGCCAGTGCGACTTAGACACGGAACGCTGTTACCTTCCCACCGAAGTGGTCCCTATTTATCTACTTGCATTTGCATGCTTTCGAACCGCTAGGCTGGCGGGAGCTGGGACAAAGCAACGGGCGCTCACTCCATCGCGTGGATTCGATCTTACGACTGCTTGGTCTTCTGACCCTGCAGCACAGGCTTCCGCGGTTTAGCCCACAGCGCCACCACGTCCCTTTTCAAGGGGATAATGGAAGTTAAAATGTCAGTATTAACTGTATGAGCCTGATGCTGATAGCTTGGGGGGGGGGTCAGGATACTGTGATCACGTAAGAACCTTACTGAATTTGGGTTAGTGGACAGCTGTCACTTGTGGCTCTCTGGCAAATTTAGAGCCACTAAATGAGGGAAGAAGAAACCTAACCCCCAACTTGTCCTGTCATCCCAGATTAGTCTGAGTTAAAATGGATCAGACTACTCTTATTCAAGTTTCCTTATAAAAAGCCTTATAAACGTTCATATACCTTGGAAACTAGTTTGGACTGCAATGAGACACGCCACCCAAGAGTTTTCGCCGCCAGTCTACTTTATGGTTTATTTTAGCAACTGTATGTGCCTGGCACAGGCGGGGGAAAGACGTCCTGAAACTTGGTTCTGTACACTGTAATGATAACTTCAGTTCAAGGGAGAAGCACAATACCGGGCAGGATTTGACCGTAATCCTGAACAACGTTGATTAAGATTTCACAACCAAAGTTCCCTGAAAAACAAACGCTTTGTGCTGCACTGCAAACTACTTTTGGGCATGCGAGATAGGGATCAGGGGCTGAATCAGCCATTTATGATGTGAAAAATATATATAAAATAACCTGGCATAATAGAATTCAGCTATTCAGAGTTAAACTATGAACTGAGTTACTTCATGCCCTTTGCTATCAACTATTTCAGACTGCAACAATGGTCATGAGCTCGAATATTTTCAAGAAACAACTGAGAACATGGATGTTTAGGCAGGCCTTCCCCCCCAGTTAACCCCTAACCTTCTCCCTTGCCTTCTTTATTATGTTTTTTCCTTTTCCATCTTATAGAATTTTAAATTGTGTACAAATTCCTTTTCATTTATATATTGTTCCTGTATTTTTGAGTTACTTCATGCCCTTTGCTATCAACTCTTTCAGACCGCAACGATGGTTTATGAGCTCGAATATCTTCTATGATGGGATTTCCATTGTCAGATTTCACTCCCCCCCCAAAAAAAAAGTATGCTTGCCTCACCTCTTAACTAGGAAGTGGTAACGGGAGATTTTGTCTACTGCTTTGGCTTGTACTAAGCAAAGTAAATTGTGTACAAATTCCTTTTCATTTATATATTGTTCCTGTATTTTTTTTTTGTGGTGTAAGCCGCCTAGAGTGGTCAAAATTGACCAGATAGGCGGGGTATGAATGAATGAATGAATGAATGAATGAATGAATGAATGAATGAATGAATGAATGAATGAATAAATAAATAAATAAATAAATAAGTATCTTATATGATGGGATTTCCATTGTCAGATTTCAACCCCCCCCAAAAAAAAACCATGCTTGCCTCACCTCTTAACTAGGAAGCTGTAACGGGAGATTTTGTCTACTGTTTTGGCTTGTACAAAGCAAACGCAAAGAAGCAGGAATGCGATTCTGCTTGAAAAGCTATTCAACATTCTTATCCCCATGACGTTGTTGTTGTTGTTGCTACTGACATCAACAACAAGTTTTCACCTACCAGCAGCATTGCTGAAGTTCCATTCGGCCTGGATAAGTGGATGGACATTTCAGGAAACATTCTATCAATGCGGCTGATCACGTCATCGACATACCTACGAAATGGATAAAAGCATTACTGAAACACAAGGAGTGGGGGGAGAGGCATACTTGTTAAAATCTACCAGAGATAGAGAGGATAGTCCATTTCAAATCAGAGCATCTACTCAACGTGAAGATCAGTCCAGAGCACGGATGTGCGCTAGCGCCAATTCTGATTTTGGATTCGAATTACAGCCCTTCAGATCCGTAATTCATAATTTTTAAAAGGCAGCATTCCCCGATATCTGGACCTCTGTTATAGCCCATATAAATACTACAGTCATTATTTTTCCCCTTAAAGAAATAATAAGGCCAAACATTTTAAAAGGATTTTCCTGTGTCTTCTGACACCTTCCCAGTCAGCAATTCTGCCAAAGAAAAAGAGAGCCGGCGTGCAAACGGCCAGCAAAGCCCGAGTATTTGGAAATGGCTCCAACAGAAATACCGATTAAACTTTGCACAGTGGGAACGCCAGCACGAAACACCAACAGAGGACAGATACCAAGATTAGGCTGGGTCAGAGAGGCCCACATTAACCACTCAGATGCACAGCCCAGACTTTCTTGGTGTGGGTCAGCTCCAGAAGGCCAAATGTGTTGATGGTGCGGGAAAATCTTCCTACTCTGTACCCTTCTAACATCTTAAGTCACTCGGACTAAACAGCACGTCGGGGAGACAGCCCAGACTTTCTTGGTGTGGGTCAGCGCCAGAAGGCCAAATGTGTTGATGGCACGGGAAAATGTTCCTACTCTGCACCCTTCTAACATCTTAAGTCATTCGGACTAAACAGCACGTCCGAGAGTTACCAAAAAGGAAGGAATGAAGTCAGCCAGCTCCCTCTGAAGGAAGGAAGGAAGGAAGGAAGGAAGGAAGGCAGCCAGCTCCCTCCTTCAGAGAACCTATGAGATCCCAAGATTACCGTATTTTTTGCACCATAAGACGCACTTTTTCCCACAAAACAGGGGGGTGGAAAGTCTGTGCGTCTTATGGAGCGAAAAATACGGGTAGTTCTTGCTGTTATTATGGAGCGAAGAAAACAGATTATATTTTCCTGTTTTCTTCTCCTAAAAAATTGGTGCGTCTTATGGAAAGGTGCGTCTTATGGAGCCAAAAATACGGGTAGTTCTTGCTGTTATCCACAGCTTGGAATTCTTATGTTTGCCACGAAAACAACAACAACAATAAAAAAGGAGATATAGCAGTGTGTAACCACCTCCCATGGTTTTTGCAGGAAACCTATAAAAAACAGATAGGGTTTAACCAAACGGCATGGCTTAGGAGGTGAAAAAAGTTTCAAGGAGCCATGTTTACGGCAGATGAGGAATGCTGAATGCACAAATTCACTTACAGAGAAAGACTGAAACTTCAAGACAGAAGTGATTTCATAATAAGTCTTGGTAGCATGGTTACACACACACACACACACACACATTTCTACCTTAAAAAAAAACCTGCAGAAAAGCAACACTCTTCACAAACGCCTTTCAGTTCTGCACTGGACAGATGGTTTACTTCTCCAGTACGACCTTTTTCAAAAACTGGATCTGATCCAGCAATTCAGTGTTAGTGTTATGTTTAGCAGCTCAGGCAGCATCTAAATAGCATTTCTCCCACACCGTGTGTAAGAGACATGCTGTTCATTTTTCTACTCCACGTACAAAGCCTAAGAATTAAAACAATTTTTTTAAAAAAACCAACAACAACTCTACTTCTGTTTTTATGGGTGAAAGAGACATGACTTACTTATTTGGCTCCAATGGGTAAAAAGACATGTTGAATTGTTTAGAGTGCAAAAGAATTGATAAAGGGGTAAAGAAGATTAACCTACAGGAAGGTTACTTGGAACATCACCATGTTTTAATTTTGCACTGTTACATTTTAAATTTTTTTGAGTATCTTATTTCTAAATTTGTTCTATATAAACTTTGTAACCAACCATGAGAATCCTGAGATATAAGACAGGCTATAAGTGTTTAAATAAACAAATACACAGATTCCTGTTCAGATCATATAATTCTTTCACTTTTTACTGTAGACATAGAGTAGGTGCCTATATTAACAACATATACCATATTTTTGCTCCATAAGATGCACCTTTCCATAAGACGCACCAATTTTTTAGGAGAAGAAAACAGGAATATATAATCTGTTTTCTTCGCTCTATAAGACGCACAGACTTTCCACCCCCCCTGTTTTGTGGGAAAAAAGTGTGTCTTATGATGCAAAAAATACGGTACATGTGAGTTACAAATACTAAAGGCTCCTAAATGTGGACATCAGCTTGAGGTTCTTGATGAGAAAGGACTGCACAGTTCCTACAGAAAATGTTTGGTTACTTTTCCACAAAGAGAATCATTGCCTCTTCCTTTAAAAAAAAAAGACGCAGAGCAACACCACCAACTATTAAAAATGAACTGTTAAGATTTCTAGCAATGCTGGGTCATAAAATGTTAAAAATAGGCTATATATAGTTTATTAATCCTGTAGTAAAAATAGTGTCATTCCAATGTTACCTCTCAGGCAAGCGCAGGCACGCCAAAGTACAGATCGGCTGCAGATTTTAACAGCAAGACAATTTTACAGTAGTTATTAAAGCAGAGAAGGGAGCCGCAGCAAAATCTCATACTGCAAGAACCTTTCCCAAATGTTGGTATAAACTAGGATTGTGTTTTGAAATTTCTCCTATCATCTCACTGTTTTGGAAGGTTTTTGTTGTTTGTTTGTTTGTCTCATCTGATGTTGGAGCATCATCTCCCACTGCATCTTTTGAACACAAGGGTAGAACAGATACGCTACGCTCAGAATGAAGCCTTAGCATCTCTGGACTGCAGTCCTCCATCTCTGCTGGAGGTTGTCCGTGGTCAACAAGGAAGGGATGTGAACAGAAAACTGAGAGGGGTGAAGGGGGAAGTTGTTATCTGAAAAGAAGGGGATGACTTCTCAAATATGTGATCATGAGCAAAGTTTAAAAAGCAGGGTAATATCCTGTGTCGTGCCACCAATATATCTGAAGAGTGAACTTTCCAGTTCTTCGGAAGCCTTCATAAGGCATCGCTCAACAAGATGAGGATTGTCATGTTAACTCATGGAGTCTGCTACAGCCAGCCAGCACAGCAGCTACCTATTTGTACTAAAAGATACTGGCTACGAGCTGAATACTGTATTAATGTTGATAGGAGAATGTAAAAATAATGCAATGAAAACAAACAAACATAAACCCAACCACAATTCTCTTTTTCAGTTATTACCAGAAACATGTCTTAGCCTGTAACCGTTTTCTGTATGTTTACTGAAAACTGACATTAATTCCTTGAGAGAAAGAACTTGAAAGACAAGCCCACCTATCGCAGAATGTCAACTGCAAGTGGTAATGGGATTTAGGAACACATACTTTCCTACTAAGGCCCATCCTTTATTAAACTGTCCCCTTTCCGAAGAAGACCTCGCGTCACCATTAACAATAGATTTTGGCAGCTGTTGTTCATGTCATCTTCAACAAAATGTCAAAGAAAGAGAGAGAGGTAGACTATAAATCCAGAAGGTGGATATTTGAGAAGACGAAACAGAAAATAGCGGCAGTTATGAAATATTTCCTAGAAGTAAACAAAATGAGAAATAAGATTTCCTTTTAAAGGATGGAATGTGATCCTGTGCATCAGAACACAGAAATCATGAGCATCTATCCAGCTGTTTAAGTTCCATTGGGTTGTTGTTATGAGCCATTGAGTTGCCTCCAACATAAGGTAACCCTATTATCATCATCATCATCAGAGCTGGGCACAAACTGCCAATTTGGTGGGGTTTATTTCCTGGCCGAACAGCTGATCAGCGCCCTACCCCTTCCAGTGGGCACCCAATTCAGAGGCTTTTCATGAGGAATCCAATTAGCTTGACAAATGATACAACCTTTAAAAGCAATTTGCTTCTAATTGAGCTAATCGGTGTAGCAGAGAAATATTCCTTCGAAGCATCTCAGAAGCAAAACAGGAAGAACGAGGAAGGAGATGCTGATTTTCTTTTCCCAAGACTTTCTTCAATCAAGTGTACTTCACTGTGTTCTTATTTCCTGGCTTTGGCTCAAAATCTTCCAACTTGGCAGCTGGAAAATACCTGATCCATTATCATACTGTTATTAAAAAGACAGTAAATGGCAAATAATGAATCTTGAAATACTCATGCTACTGAGTAGAATTTTAAAAAAAAGAGGAAGACGATAAAACTGTTGCCCTGACCCATTGAATCAGTGAGGATTTGGTGAGTCACCTCCTCCAGAAGTATCGGTTCGATGGGCCTATTCTAATTGTAGGTTACCACACTGAGTGACAGGATTTTAGCCATTTCTTCCTTATAGAAATCAATTATGCAGGAGAACAGAGGTTGGACTTAACCTACAAGTCACTTTGAGAAAATATGCCATCCAAAAGGGTAGGTAACGGACCAGAAAATTACTTGACAATTAAAAATCTAGGTCTGCAGTTGAACCCACAGCACTTTCAGTGAAAGAATTAGTAGTAAAACGGAGGCATATTGCTTTGGAGACAATAGAGAACGACAGTCTAATATTTTATTTAGCAAATTTACTAGTTTAAATTTAGTATTTAGTAAATTTACTTGTTTAAAATTAGTATTTAAATTTCGTTTAAATATTAAATTGAGTTTAAATACCAGCTTTAAACTGGCCAATTCAGCATAAAACAACTCCTTATCTTATTCAATGTCTTCTTGTTCAATTTAACAATGCAAGGAGGATAACGAAAGATGCCCCAAGAAGCTTTTGAAGAGCTATGATTAAGGAGGATCCATTGCATGGAAACAGAAGTGGGTAACATACGTTCTGTTCCATAACGCAAACCAGAAATTATACAATTTTTAATTGGCATGAAAGGTCAGATACTCAGAGCAAACACATGCACATCAAAACACCGCCTGTCTTCCGCCCAAAAAAAAAATAAATCCAAACAGCGAAAGGAATAAACAAGGAGAAATACCTGCTGCTCAAATATGACTGCGGTTC